CAGGTTTAAATGTCAAAATCTTTGGATTTTTCCCCGAAAATCCTTTATAAAAAAATATTACATATCATATAAATCTCAGAGACATATTTATTAGCTTACCCTATTTATTTCTTAATCTAAAAATATTAGTTTTGAGTAGAAAAAACGGTATATCATAGAATAAGTTATTCTAAGTAACAATATTTTCCAACACTTAAGTGAATATTGCATTTCAAATAATGAAACAATTTTTATGGATTCGTATGGAATACTTTATAGCGTTCGTGGTAGCGGGACAAACTGAAACTAAAACATCTTTTTGTTTGTAGTACTAGTGTGGTTAGGCCTGTGTGATTTTTATAATATCTGATGTTATCGGTTGAGGTAATTCAAAGTGTGTTTGAAGACTGCAAGCTATTTCTATTATTATTTTTTCCTAGTACAAATTTGACGTTATTTAAGCGTCTATTTATGTTGCACCATTTAGTGCTCCGGTTATGGTTTCAAAAATATAATAATTTGCTGCTATCTGATCGTTGACTCTTAGACTTTTGTTAAAAAAGTTTCGTCGCTTATCATTTTTCTGTAATGGCCGGACCATTTTTATTCCATTTATTTATTAAATAAGTGTATAATGTTGTCCAGTTGTTTCGAAAAGTTGCTTCAGAGAAAACCAAACGTACCCTAGTGCCCTATATTTATTGTCATTACTCAAGATGTGGCGCTGAGGATTAATCACCTTTTAGTGTAAGCTGCGGGTAAATGTTAGTGTTTGTACTCTCGATTTGCATAGGTCAAATTTAAAACGTTACTTCATTCCACATTCCCAATGTGTAAAATTTTTATCTACCCAGACTCAATATTTACTGAAGCACATCATTATATGGTGAGGTGGTACACCTGATGACAAGAGATGACGCCTATGAACATCCAGTTATATTATTCACCAGGCAAATTGCAAAACTTTAAATATATAAATTCAAAACTTTCATTCACGGATAAGCCATTCCGTTTATGTTAAAGTACTCTGTAATTTTACCATCATGAATTCTTATAAAAAAATTTGAATGTTTTAAGTGTGGACAAGACAGTGTTTTACGGAAGGCTTTTAAATGTGAAAATGTTGACAATAGTAAAATGGTGGATTGTCTTAGTAGAAACAACAAGATTTAATTATGTTTTTTCTCAAAAACTAGAGGTGACTACCGAATTCTACTTGTTGATTAATTCGTAAGTGATATGTCTCTATAGTTCTCTATCATTAAAATTTTTCTTTTGTTTGCTATATAAAAGTAGTGGGCTGCTGAAATTTACCTTCATGATAACACAAAAAATTAAAAAGTACTGAACGATTTGATTCCGATTGGAATAAATTTTTATTATAAAATAAGACTAATACAATAATGTAGATATATACACATTTGTTTAATATAAATGAGCGGGAAATACTTTTGGTTTTAAATTTGACATACAATTAGGCATCAAAAATAATGATACAGCCACTATGCTAATATCGATTTCGAAACTCGACTACAAATTTTATTAAAAGCCCTTAACGTCACCATGGTGAAATATAAACTGATACAAATTGAATTTGACTTTACTTAACTCAAGCTGATAGGTTTTATCAGTGACTTTTATGTAAATTAAGTTAGGTTCAAAATGAGTCACAGATCCGACACAGAGCACCCCGACTCCATGTGGTCTTGTGGTCCCTACCCCTAGAGTGAACATAAAAAGGCGGAGCCAGAACCTCGGCCTTCGCTCCGCCACGGATCTCGCCGGCTCGGTTCGCTCGCCACCTCGCCCCTTCGCTTCGCTTGGCCTCACGGGTTTGCGCCACTCAGGGGCGACATAGCGAGTGTTTAGGCGAAGCACGTGGGAGAGTCAAACTACAATGAAGTAATAAATTTTGAATATTTCTTAATTTTTTTACATAAAACAACAAAAAAAAATAGAGATGAAGATTTTAAAAGCAATATATAAAAATAATTTTAATAAATAAAAATCAAAAATATAAGAAATATAAAAAATATGACTTCATTATTAAGTTGAATGTAACTTAGTCCATTTTTATCATAGATTTATAAAAATCACATATAAAATCATCAGCTGGAATTACGTAAAGGCGAATTTAATTTAAATCAGTTTATAATACACCATGGTTACATTAAGGGCTTTTAACAAAAAGATTTTATAAAATTTGTAATCGAGTTTCGAAATCGATATTAGCATATTGGTTATATCATTATTTTTCATGCCTAAATGTAAAACCAAAAGTATTTCCCGCTTATTTATATTAAACAAATATGTATATACCTACATTATTATATTAGTCTTATTTTTTAATAAAAGTTTATTCAAATCGTTCAGTACTTTTTAATTTTTTGTGTTATCATGAATTCTTGTAAAAAAAATTAAATGTTTTAAGTGTGGACAAGACAGTGTTTTACGGAAGGTTTTAAAAGTGAAAATGTTGACAATAGTGCAATGGCGGATTTTCTTAGTGAAAATAACAATATTTAATTACGTTTTTTTCTCGAAAAGTATAGATGACTATCAAATTTTTTTTTATTGATTACTTAGTTAGTGATATGTCTCTATAGTTATCTATCGTTTAATTTTTTTTTGTTTGCGATATAAAAGTAGTGGGCTGCTGAAATTTTATCAAATCGTGATGTGATTTCAACGATTATACGTGGTGGGGGCACGCACCAGTCTTCACTGTTGCACAAATGGGTAGATCCGTCCGGGTAAGGACATTGCAAATGTTCCAAAGTACTAATTCACTTGTATTTTGGCATAAAAAAAATTTTGATTAATTTTAAAAATAAATTATAAAATCTGTTTACGATAACCTTTAATTTAAAGTTTCAGCTAAAACTGACTACTTTTTAGTGTACTACTATGACTGGGCTATATCTTCCAAAATTTATTTCTCCAATTCATTCTATTTTACACTAATCTTAGCATCGCCAGTGTTGTTTTGTCGTTGCTCATAATATTAACATAAAACTTTCGATATTTAATGCCACATTATTGTTACTTTACCGTAGTCGCAGCTAAACAAACGTAGACTCCCCAAGTGTACCTACACTTAATTATTCAGAAGCGGCGCAAGGATCGAAACTCGAGGAACGAAAAGACCTTTGTTCCGTGAGTTTCCTCGCACAATTCACATCGGGAATGTCAAAGGTCGCATGTCGCGGTCTCAGAATCAGATGGGCTCCCTTCGTTGAAATCTACTTGTGTATGCTTCAGTTTAAAGAGGAGTCGAAATGGCGACGGAGATATAAGACATACTTATCGTACTTTTGATCGGCTTTAAGTCGGTCACCTTTTTTAAATTCGATTAGAGTAGAAACATCAAGGACTGTAATTGAAAATGCTTTAACAATTACATGTACTGGACTACCAAAAACACTCAGCAGATTTTAATATTTAACTTCCACAAAGATAGTAATTAAATATTTGAATCATAATATGGCCCAACCAATTATTTAAGGCAGTGTTACAATGAAACACGTTCTGATTTATAGCTTTCCCTTATTATTTTGTTTATAAAGAAAAAATTGAGTGGAACGTAAAATAACGTTACCTTGTCAGTTAACCTTATCAGTTTTATATTATGTATCAAATTCTATTCGTAAATATAATAAATTTGTATATTGAAAAGCACTCAGGACTGCGGTATAGGCCTTTAAGACATTTATGTCACTCACAACTTTCAGGTTCTTATACGGGAACGAAGTAAAAAGGAGAAATATTACTTTATAAAACCTTTATTGTAGTTGTTGAAGTACAATAACTTTTGTTTTATTATTCTTAAAATATTACCAAGTAATATTTCATGCTGACTGTGATTTATTTTGACTTTATCACAACAAAAATAAATTTTAATACAAAGAAATTTTAGATTTGCGGTATATTATTCTGTTATTAAGTAGTTCGTAAAGTATTTAGTTTTTAATGAATCACCTATATAAATCAATCTGCCTATTGCAGTCAACTGCTGGACATGGGCCTCCCCAAGGGCCTGCCATAGTGCATGATCTTTTGCTTTCCTCATCCATCCACTTTCAGCGAACTTTAGTTTTAGTTTTTAATCTTCAATCAAAATATGAAAAGTTGATAGAATTTCTGTCAACCGCTTTTCTTCAACCCGCACAAACAATAAATTTATAGCGGTTCATGAAGAAACATTTTGTGTAAAATTGCTTTATTTGTTGATCGTAAAAATAATAGTTTTGGTGTGAATCATCACATATTTCTGGGATATATACAATAAAAGTAATAACTGAGACAAGATAGTCGATTGACAATTGGGAAATCTTAAGTGGATTAAACGGTTAACAAAGGCCATTTATTGCGCAGAGCAACTCCGCGTCACCGTCAGGAGATTACCCTTTGTTAAATACTCACTAGCAATTGTTTGTTCCCGGCACAATTTGCTGACCGTTCTGACGAGGTAAATATTTTCCAGCCTCTATTCTTCGACCGCTACGTAGTTTTTCTGCTAACAGATTTAGCAAAGGAGATTTTGTTGGAACAACGGGTCTAAATTGGATCACGTCGCTCACTTTGTTCTTTTAACGTTAAGTTTTATAGAAATTGGAAGTGATTTTTTGTTTAACGTGTAAATAAGATCCTACACAAAAATCTTTAATGAAGTCTTACATAAAGTAATTATGTTCATTAGTTTTATAAAAATTGATCCTGGAGGAATTTATTTAAAAACATACTTTTTAATATTACTACTTTATTGAAAAGTGTCAGTGCACTTGCAACCCTTGTTGTTGCAAAAATCCATGGGTGGCGGTTATCTCTTAACATATGATAAACCGTCATCTTGCAACCTTCACACATAAAAAATACCAATTTTAGAAGCCATCATATAACGAGTTATAAAAGGGAGTTTCAATATAAATTTACAACATCCTTTGCAGGGTTGATTAATATCATACATAGCGTCCTCGTAAATGATTTCGGTGGAAATTTCGGCTTAGAGGTGGGAGAATCTAAGCGATGCGATGCAGCGAACGATCGCGGGGTTCGGAGGCAACGTGTGACGTCAGAGAGGCGGAGCGGGGCGAGGCACAGTGTGGCGCGCGCCGGCGGCGGCAGCGGGCACCCAGCCAGGCGAGCGTATCTGTTGATCTGTAGCACGTAGACCGTAGCACGCGCCCGAACACGCCAGCAGCTACGGCGCTTGCTCTACGCGCCACACGTAAACAAACCGTAGCGCCCAGCGATCGCACAGTAACCGCTGCTCAGGTCGCTCATCGCCGGTGATTCCTCAGTGCACGCGGACAAACATTCGGCGGGTGTAGTAACGTCGAACACCCACGGACTGTAGTAACGTAGTAGTAACCGCACCGCCAGACGTCTGCTGCTTGGTGCACCTCAATCGAGACACATAGGTAGGAGGCATAATTATACAATTTTCTTTAATTTGTAAAAGTAAAGTAAAGTAACAGCCTATACATGTCCCACTGCTGGGCAAAGGCCTCCTCTATAGAGGAGGCCTTTGCCCAGCACCACCCTTTAATTTGTACTCGGGCAAAATCTTTGATTTAACCTTAACAATTTTTACATTCAAACGCGTTGAATAAATAATCTAAGAATACTAAAATATAACGTAAAAATTCAACGAATCCTTGTTTTATTCTTCAAAATTTTTTATTTTTCATATACTTAAACAGCACAACTAAAAAATTAGTTGTTCTTAATAACAAGAAAGTGAAGGCACATAGTAATGAGAATTAAATTGCTGCTATATGGCTCCTACAAGTTTGTTATCGTTGCCTGTTCTCGTCTGGTAATAAATGAGTTTTCAAAAGAATGAAGAATGATAAAACATCTAAATCATGAAAATGTTTACAAATAAATGCTGCTTATCATTCCCTACAGGAAATAATTATAATTATTGTAAGTAATCTTCGAATTTCTCATAAAACACAAAGGAAGGTTTTCGCGTTTAAACACCTAATGTTACATGTGTGGTTATTTTAGTGAAAGTAATAGAATTACTTCTAAATACTCTTGGAAATAAGATAAACACGCACTAACCTAGAAAATTGTGTTATAGTTTTTCTTTTTGCTTATTTTTAAAAGTAAAATTTATTTCCTATATCATAAGACGTCTTTCGTCGTTTTGAAATTAATTTTTGTATTAAAGTACTGGTTTAGTCTGTTAATTTAATTTTGACATATACTTAAATGCAAGTATCTCTTAGTTGAACATTGCCATACTGTCGAAACAAGTCAAAACCTTACTAATATCAATAAAAAAGCAAGGGATGAAGTTCGGTTATGTAATTGCGTTTAGACAACAATTTTATTCTATAAAAGAATAGGTTAATATTGCAGCGGTGTCATAGAACATTGATACATAATATATATTCAAATACTATATGTATATATGAAAAATAAGGGCTAATTAAATTTAACGTGAACTTGCACAATATCTCTACTAATTACTTTAACGGGCATATAACTTACATCTACGAAACAGAGCTTGATTTATGATCGCAGTTATTTGTTTGTTTCGCATCGTTTAGTCGTGGCATTACGTAGCCGTGTCAGAAAATCCTACAATTACTTTTCTAAATGATTGGGTTCATGTATTAAAACTAGTTTTATAAAGCTACACAATCGGTTACATTTGCCATTGCTTAGTAATAATTATATAAATATATGTTTTATAATTATATATATATTCTTAATATTTGGCCCTTATTCTTTGTCTCAATTAGCAGAAATAATGTATGTATTAAAAGTCATGTTAAGATTAAAACCGGCAATTTAAAGTATATTGTGTCACGTATTTTATACGCGGAGATAAAATTTTGAGGTTAGAAAAAGTATAGTCCAGTAATAGTAAAGTATCAACGTGATGAGAGTGAGTTTTTTTTTTATACCACAGTAACTAATGAAAAACATAACAGCTATCAATTGCTTAACATCGCTAAATGGATTAACTATTACTGTAATGAAAGAACTGTTAGATAAAAATATTTTTCACTTGAACAAAACCACGTTATTTTGCTTTCCCAATACGGCAGGACAGACGTTTTCATATATTATATCTTTGTTTTATATGTGTATATGTGGGATCCACGTCAATTATAAAATGAAGAAACATAAATCCTAATTATCTCTTAGTAACTGAACGAAATACTATATAACAAAAAATATTCATCCGTATACAATAATTTGTTGCATATTCAGACATTTTTATAATTGTTTGATTAATATAAGCACAAGCAAAGATGTAGATCCAGAGTAATTATCAAAAATATACTGGACCATGCGGGAATCTAACACTTACAGAGATATAAGGTGTCGATTTATTTCTCTAGGACCAGTCGGTCACCGACCGCGCCATCGAAACATCACTTCATAGTATAAAACAAAGTCGTCCCGCTGTCTACCTGTCCTTATGTATGCTTAGATCTTTAAAACTACGCAACCGATCTTAATGCGGTTTTTTTTAGTAGATAGAGTGAATTAAGAGGAAGGTTTATATGTATAATACATTGTACCCGTGCAAAGCCGGGGTGGGTCGCTAGTTATTTTAAATAAACTTGTACTGCGTCCTTGGCCTTATTAAAAAAATACTACTACACCATCATCACCGTTTTTATAACAAAAACATGCACAGAAACAATTTGCTAGTTATATAAATACTTGCCCTGAGCGGGATTAGAGCACAGAATCTACTGCGCGTATTAATAACGTGAACCAAGCTACTGTATCAATTACCTTCATAAATTGTAAAAAATTAATATCCCGATTCAATAACGATACTAATCATGAAAGAAAACCCCTGAGGCGAAGGTTCTTATAATACCTAGAAATATAGAGACGAAAGCCATTAATAATTGGGAATGATTAATAAACTAGTAATGAGGTTTAATTATAAGGTAATAATAATAATAATCAAGCAATGCGGTTGGAAGTTTGGTCATTAGTTGTTCATATGTGGCAGAAATTACTAAAGTAGACAGCGGTTGGGATACATTTTATCTAAACAAGAAACTTTTTATCAATGGAATCTCTCGCTATCATCATATTTTATAATTGTTATTATTATATTAAAATACAAAGCAGTCGAATTTAACATAATTAGCGAACACTTTTATGTTACCTTTAGAAATAAGGTTCGGTTAAAATTCCTGAGTTACACAATGATAGAGACGAATAGGTAATAAACAAGAAGTTGTTAAATATAATTTGAAATAAATAGAATGCAATACATCATGTGTTAAAATTCATAGTTTCATGATACTGACAGCAAATGACTTGCGAAAAATCGGATTGGCGTAGTTGGATAGTAAACTATGTGGTTTCGATTCCTACTCCTGGAATATTATTGTGAGGTCAATATAGTGTTTTTTAATGTTTGGGTGTACATATCTGTAACAAGTATTATGTATAGATTTCTCTCTCTTCTTAGTCGTTCCCTCACTGCTGCGGTTCCAAAATTTGATGATGAAATCTCAAGAAACAGAACTTTTTGTTTAAGTTAACAGTTGGCAAGTGAACCGCGATTCGGACATCTATTTATCATCTCATTAGAGAGGTGGGCCCCGCTCACCTGACGAAACGTTAAAGTAATAGTTTCACATCACGCGAGTCTTCTGTGAGGCTGTGGACGGACGAGCCTGCCAATTTGTACAGCAGCCGAAGCTTCTGCGTGGTCCTACCACCCATGGGTTGATGATTATGTCGATTTCATGATAAACGTAGTTCATTGGAAAACTAATACTATTTAAAGCGTGATTTAACTTTATTGAGGAAAGCTATTCCTTTAGCTATTCATTTAGCTATTAATTTTTTAAGTTCGAAATTTTTAATGCAGGAGTAAATGATGCCATGATTCTTTTTTCCGCTCTATCAATCAATACAATATTTTAATTAGTACAATGCGTAGGCTTTTTTCAACTTTTAAATAGTTTGGAGATTTGGAGTTATAAAAATGTAAATGAAGAATAGCATGGTTGACTTCCTAACGTAATGTTCCTTAATTGCAAATGAAAGTACAATAGAAATAGATACAGAAAAAAATATACAAGAAAACATTAATTTTTATACAAAAGATGAAGCTAGTTAGTTTAACTAGGTCTAGGGTATGTGTTTACATTTCAAGACCCTTGCCATTATGGTTATAATGTAACATGATTTGTTTCATTTTTGAAAACGTATTTAAGACGTTTAATAATATAGCTTTAACTTTTATTAAAATATTTTAACGAGTACTGTCGCTAATTTAAACGATAGCAGTTTGATAAAAGAGAAATTTGTAGCGATCACCAGGAGTGAACATGACGTTCATTAAGTTTTTAATAATATTTTATCAGTCACGCTTACGGGAATAACGAGAGCTGGAGAGCTCAATGATAATGTATCAGAAAGGGGGGTTACATTTGAGCGCCGTATGGAAAGAGATGCTGGCTATTTTTGTTGAATTAAGGGGGCTAGCTGTTCGCATAATATTATCTCCTTTACAATTAATTACGTACATTGGCTAAAGCCAGTGTAGCGTTACACCATTTCGAATAAATTTCCATGGTATACTCGTTGATTGTTTGACATTAAGGACGCTGTTACATTTTTCCACAAATTTCAATATTTTTTCTGGTACCATTTAGTGAATCAGCAATAACAACTTTAAGGCTGATATACAGTTCGAAATTAAAGATGCCTAATATATTCAACTTAAACAGTCCAATATAAAAAAAATCCATGAATACGATTTAACCATTGCAATAATTTGTAAAAATGACGAAAAATGGGGTCTGGTTAGGTACCATTTTTAGTTAAATTATTACATATTTTTAATACCAAATAAAAGTGATTTCTGGCTGATATATTCGTCTACATGATTAGCTATTTTTTGTACTTAAATAAACTAGGATTTACTTTTGTAAAAAATAATTACGAAAAAAATAATTAAAACAACTAACACTCACTACCTTTGCTTAATAATACTAATTAAATAATAAATAAAATATCTTCAAGTATCAATATTAGCTAGTTGCTATAAAATTTAGCTTAAATTGGTACAATGTATGCATGCGATATATGTGGTAGTGTTGCGACTAGACTATCTAAATTGGAGCGCGCACACACACACACACACACACACACACACACACACACACACAACCACAACACAACACAACACAACACAACACAACACAACACAACACAACACAACACAACACAACACAACACAACACAACACAACACAACACAACACAACACAACACAACACAACACAACACAACACAACACAACACAAACGCGAGCGCGCGCGCACTACGCATGAACAGTAATTATTTCTCCCGTTGTATAAACTTTCAAAAACAATGGTAATTGTTCTAACTTCTTAAATGGCTAAATATTTTTGTGAATTATATTTTGTAA